CTGCGATCCCCATTTTGGTTTACGTGTTACCGTATAAGTTTCTTTTGTGCGATGACCGATGCGCAATACCGTTAACGGTGTTTGAGTGCAATTCGATTTTGGTCGCTGCATTATTGTTGGTGTTAATATTCATGACTTCAAAGAGATGGAAACCTAAATGGGTGAGTCAACATTTTCCTTTTTTTCGGTATATAAAATATATATTGACTGCTTTTAATATTCGAGGCATAGTTGTTTCTATAGGGTCTCGGGAAACTCACAACCTGCTATGACCCCGCGGCGCAAGCGCCTTGGGGTCATAGCAGGTTGTGAGTTTCCCTTGACCCTATATAAACCACTATGCCTCTCAAAGCAGTCAATATATCCTTACCATGTTGGGATGCTCCTTATCAACGGGTACACGCGTTGCTATGATAGCTGAATCATAGATGCAGTCATGCATGCATGGATTATGGGTGGCATGTGTTGAATGTTTAGCATTGTAGTGGGTTCGATCTCTTTTCATATAAAAGCTGAGTGTTTGTTCTCGTGAGTCATTAGGCGGCCCGCCTCCCCCACTCAGTTATATAGGGGACACGCGTGCATATTCCCTCCCTTTGAAAGCACCCCCCAACCATCTCCGGTGCGTAATGTCAATATTAAGGGACTGTGTTGCGTGAAAAGTACCCTTTTACCGAAATTTTGGGAAAACACGTAAGTGGTCCCTCCGATCCCAGAATGGGGGGGGGGGGGGGGGGGGGGGGGGGGGTGGGGACAGGAAGGCGACACAGCAAAATATTATGAAAACCGAGTTCGAGCTCTTGGTAAAACAGAACCCTTTTAAATTGCCTTGACGTCCAACACATACAGATGTTATACGTGTGTGTCCACGGACGGCAGTCGGTCTGATTTCATTTATTATCAAGGATGGCATCTTTAAAATGATGAATATGGCGAATTCCCGTAGTTTGAGCTCTATTTCCTCCAGACTGTTCGATAATGCCTAGGTCACAATCACTCGCTCTACGGGTAGGATACAGCGGCCGTAGGCCCCCGAAATCGAGAGATACCTGCGGCGGCCGCAGAGGATCTGCGGTGGCCTCAGGCTCACCCGTAGAGCGTATCCTTATCTTTACAAGCCATACGGGTCACCGTGGGATTATAGTGCGGAGTTGCAATTTTTTTAATTTCTAAGTTCGCCGTAGCAATCAGACAATAAGTCACACCGTAGCCATGCCGTAGAGCGGCTACCTTGCGTCTGCATTGGTATTTGTCAAACACCTACGGCTGCCGTAGGAACGGCCTAAGGCGACCGTGCGTCGTCACTTCAAAGGTCGTACGGCAGCTGCAGGTTTTTTGTCTCCACAAATTCAAAATACGCTGTGTGGCTACCCTAACATTTTTGACTGCTACAGTATGTGACCATGGGAATGCTGCGGCGGTTCTATAATTGCTAACGGCCGTATATATTTTTGACACCACGGCCGCCGCGGCAAATGTGACCTAGGCATCAGCAACAAAATGTGACAAATAGATACAAATTAGGCAAAATGCTTTTTACCATTACAGAGCATGGACAAAAATGATTATACTATGATAAAAATGATACAATGGAAATGAGATGAAAAAAAGCATAGTTGTGTTCATAAATTGTGTTTCTATTATATTGGAGCAATTTTAACACCTTGCGTAGTGGATATGTAGGCCTACGCAATACAAATATCAAATATTATTATCATCATTATTGGTGGTAGCAGTAGTATACTATTAACGTTAGTACATATTTATTCTCATCAAGCATCATCATTATCATTATTAATATGATTATTATTGCGATTATATTATTATGATTTTATTGTTATTATGATAATAATTCTTAATATCAATGCTATTAGTAATATAGTAGTATTATCATTATTTTAATTTATTACTATTATTATCATATTTATTATTATTATTATTGGTGGTGTTGTTGTTGGAAATTATTATATTTAGTAGTATTCATTGGTAAATAATTGCAATGACGAACCTTCGTCATTGCCTTGTTTTCGTTCACATTCTGCCCCATTAATATTCTCCTTATCGTCCAGAAATCACATTCGTTTTGCACGTAGTGCTTGTGATTCCTAGTTAGGTGCTTTCCTCATGTCCTTTTCCTCTGAAATTTCGTAGGCATCATCTCTAGCATCTCATCAAGGTCACCTACTTTTTCGATTTTCGAAATCACTCATGCATGACCGTCCAGGCGCCATTTTGTCCGTTTCTGGTCCATTTTAAGGCCTTTCTTTCTTCCTTCCTATCTCCACTATCATAGATCCTACAAACTTCTAACAAATTCCTCTAGATAGTCTAAGAGATGTTCTTTAATCTGCGATGTATAACTTGCCCTTCAAAATGCCATCTTCATACTCAAAATTCAAATCTGAAACCGTCTCCGTCAACAATCTCTCAAATTCTTGAAAAATGGACCCCTAAATAATCTAAAACTGCCATAACTTTCTCATATAAATTCCGTTTTGTATTTAAATCTCACAGTATCTTAATCTCATAAATGCACATAGCCTTGCCAAATTTCACGCTCCAATTGTTTTGCAAAACATAAATAGCGCCCTCTAAAGTTCTGGAAATTGGCTTTCTCTCTGTGGCCGTATCTCCATTATGGCTTGGCAGAGCCGTACCCTTTTTTGGATTTAGATACTTGAGGATATGCCCTTTCCAGCCATATACAAAACTATATACCCTATCACTGACCAAATTTGCGAAAATTGCCCTCCAAATTCGCCATTTTCAAGAAAATTCCGAAATAACTTCAACTTGCTCTAAAATGGCGATCTTTATACCTACGTCGTTGAAACTTGGCAGACACATGTATCCATATACGTGACAACTGTCTGCTAAATTCGGGAAATTTTACTAACGTCAGCGCAAAGTTATCGCCAAAAATGATGAATTTGCTATGCATTACGTAATAGCGCCTTTAATGCGTGCAGTACATTGCGTGCAGATGACAATGGTGTCAAACTGACCGCAATGAAGTGCCCTTTCGAATGATACCAAGTATGGTATATGTTTACACAGAAAATTGTGAGTAAATCGCATTTGAACAAGGGTCACTATACGAATTCCGCCCGATTATAACACTTATCGGCCATGACGTCATTTTTTTCAGACTACTTTTCGCCCCCTAAACATCCTTTTTTTTCCTTGAAAATTTGCAATGACATTCCGAGATGCAATACGCAGGGCACCTCGTGGCCGGATTTTTGAAATTGGTCAAGGGGGCCATTTAAGACGCCATTTTGTCCTTTAAATCTATTTTACATCACATGTTTCGATAGGATTATCATAGAAAAAAAGAGAGTAGTTTACAATAACGACCATGAAATTCTCTTTCCAATGATACCATATACGGCCCATAAAGAGACATAAAGAGAGAGAGAAAAAACAATTTAACTCCGGTCATAATACAGATCCTCTACGTTTTCCGCCCATGCATTACACGCATTGTCTATGGGGCAAATCGGGTTCACGCTTTTGACCCCTAGAACGATCTTGATTGCAATGACGAACATGCAACTAATCCCATTTGTTTTTGCACGCAGTGCTTGCGAGCCCTTTCTAGGTTCTTTCCCCTATCCCAATTTCTTTCAAACATCGTAGGCATAGTCACTACCATCCCATCAAGGTCACTATTGAGGCCTTTCTTTCGCCCTACCTGTCTCCAATATTACAGAAGCTAAAGACTTCGTACAAATTGCTCTGGATAGTCCGAGAGAAGCTATTTCGTTCGACACGTAGAAACACGGCGTCATTGCACGCACATCGTTGTGACACGATTGCATTTCTAGTTATGTTCTCTTTTTGTTCGTTTTGTACAGAATGCAACAGCTTTCCATGTAGAAACGGCGCAGCTTGTCAAGAGGGCACTGATCACTATATCTGTATATGTCAGCAGAATTGGATCGGAACATACTGTGAAACAACATTCACAAGTAAGCATATTTATCCATGAGTAATAATATAGAAGAAGAAAAAATGAAACTTCCAAACAAATCTCTAGTTTCAGTGGTAATATCTCTTTGACTAATATGATTATAATCATTTAATTGTAGTATAAATTCTCGCTACCCCAAATAGCGATTTTGCCGAGATCCGGGGAAAATCCTGAAAACGCGCATTGCATTATGGGATAGCTTTTCGACATTACAGCTTCCTGTGCAGGCGGCGCGATAGCGCAAACGTAAAACGCCGTCGCCACACAACGTGTATGCACCGAATATGTCGTCTGCTCGGTCTTGTTTTTTTTTCGCAAATATTTCAACGTTTATTTGAACATTTCATTCGTTGTTTTTTGCGTCTTTTGACATCAGTGACGATGGTTTTCTTTTGTGAGGCTGCACAGTGCTGGGCTCATGATTCCAAGCGTAAGAACCCTGAAAAATGGGGGTGGATGAAGGCCGTGACTTGGGATGGGACTCTATACCGGAAGTTGTAGTGACGACCCGAGAGAGTGAAAATTACCTCGTCTCGCGAATTTCGAGATTTTTGTACCTATTTAGGGTAGCGAGAATTGAAAGGTGTATATTTTCCAAAACAATGATGCAATTTTGCCATGATCAGTAGACCTGAATAGAGAAAATATTCCGAATTGAATCTTATCAAATGCATCGCCGTTCAGATTGTATTCTCTTTTGCGACAAATGTTTTGTATTATATAGTTAGTTTGATTGAAAATATCTCTCTCACTTTGTCATTTTTTTCAGTACGTTAGCTAGCATTTGAACGCTTGTTAATTTCGCCTTCCATTTCTTGTTGTTATGGAGGCGAATGAAATGAAGTTTTTTTTCTTCATCTTTTTGTAGTACTACGAATTAATGTTGTATAACATCCAGTGACTTAATTAGTATTGGTTGTGTAAGTTAATGAGAACCATTCATGTGATCTGTAATCGTTCCAGTTTTCAAATTTTGTACTAAGTTAATAACGTTTGATTAGGTTAAGGATGGGAAGACTGAGATGCTATGGCCATGTGGTTAGAAGAGAGAACAGTCATTGGCTATACCACAGAGAGCAATGAGCTTCAAGATTGTGGGCGCAACATCCCGTCGTAGACCTTCACAAGACCTGGAAAGAGACACTTGAAAAATATATAAGAACATTCGGCCTATGGAAGGCGTGGGGAAGGTCCATAATAAGTCAAATGAAACGTCCTACGACTACCGAGCGTGGCCGAAAAACACACGCTAAGTGATGATGACCGTACGACGATGATGACGTAGTTGTTTCGAATAAAGTTATCTAAACCTTTTCTCTCCATCTAGATTGGGACGGATCATGTGGAGGTAGATACTTCTCTCAAGCCGGGATCTTTTCATCTCCCAATTATCCTCTAAACTACGGATCCAACGAGGTATGCGTCTATCTCATCCGAATCCCTAACGCCCAGAACATCCAGATCAGACTGACTGAGTTCAAACTCGAAACAAACAGGGATTTCTTAGAGATTGGTGGCGGGGCTGTACCGGCCTACGGTGAGGGTCAGGTCCTGTTAACCGGGAACAACCTCTCACTGCCACTTGAAGAATTGATCGACGACAGACAAGCTTGGATTATCTTCAGCAGTGATTTCAACAGCCAGGAAAAGGGATTTCAAGTTGAATATATCGCAGGTAACAAAAAAAATCAGTCTTCTGGAAATGCAAAGTCTGATCTATGGTATTTGTTTTGTGAACACAATCGCAACTGTTTCAGATAAAATCAACTCAAGGGCAATATAAATATATAGTATAATAAAAATTATGCACCATATAAACCATGTTCGGATCATGTAATACGTTGTTGTTGCGCTAGTTCTTTTCTATGGGTGACGCACAAGGCTATCGAAATTGTTTTAGGTTGATGTTTGGAAAGTACATGTAGTAGCTTTTGTGTAGTAGTTGGTTTTAGATTATATTTCGTCATTGAGGTTAATTTTGTTTAAATTAATTTTCATACAATATAGTCTTTTATCAATCGTCTTTCCTCACGAATGGCTTTCTTTTGTTTCTTATATAGATCTTGATGCATGTGCTTCCTCTCCGTGTCGGAACTCTGGAGGGTGCGTAGATGGCGTGCTCACATTTGATTGTGTTTGTACAGCTGGCTGGACAGGAACAACCTGTACCACGAGTAAGTTCTGTACAAATACATGTTACGAATATTATAGATATTCATGAATATGTAATACATAATAATTTGGTGAATAATGGAATATATATATATATATATATATATATATATAGTACACTGCACATAACATTAGCTGAATACACTCTGTGGTTATATAAAGTATGAGCTGTAAACGCCAATAAAAAGGAGATTACGTAGCTTGTTTCGACTAAATCGAAGATGTGATTCATTGCTAATTAGTATCAATAACCCCTGTATGAATGGAGATTACATTACTTTTGATTAAATTAGATTGAATAGCTTAATTGTGTTTCCTTGCTAAATAAGAGCAGTAAGACTTATACCAATGTACGCTTTGACTAATTGTCACTGATTACCTTTTGATTTCTTGCTATTATCAGTAGCCCCTATATGAGCAGAGATATGTGTTTTAATGAAATGTGATACTTTGTGGTGCTTTGTGTTAAGTATTAGAAGTAGTCCATTCATACATGCCCTGATGTATACCAATTTGACACCTTACTAGATCTTGATGAGTGTAGCAGCGATCCCTGTCTGAATGGGATATGCACTGATCAGATCAACGGATATGTCTGCTCGTGTGACGCTGGTTGGATGGGAACGAATTGCGACACCAGTAAGAAATAAGTATCGGCTTATATAGTATGAGACACGTTTCTAGGAAATGTTGGTATCACAGCCCTCAATAATCCCGCCCAATATTACTTGACGGACGGGCAATTATCCAAACCTTTAGGGAAGGTTGTCATGAGATTAATTGTCTGGGGATTGTTATTCGACAGTTTATGTGTCCTAGGGTTCAGTTCTATATAGGAAATTGCCGGAAAGAATCAGGAATGTTGTTGTTCGAGAGTAGTTTTCCGAAGGGCAGTTTTTTAACGGAGTACCCGTATGTAAGTAGTTTTCCGGGATAGTTTTCACGGATTGATAGTCGATTGGCCTGACAGCTTTTGTGTCAAATGAAATTCAACCTGTGTTAACCAAAAATACCTTGATTATGTATTAATCACAGTCCTTACACTTTCCAAGATATATAATGTGAGTTTCCATAACAATTGTGTCACCACTGCTTTGTATTGCTTCAAACAACCTAAGACTTTGTTAAATGACGTGACAAAAAGTATCATTATAAAACTATCCATTTACTACAATTGAGTGCAACTATGAGTTTTGAAATGGCATTTCATTTAAATTGATCCAAATTTACTAACAAGAGTTTTCTTTTCTCCTCACTAGATATTGATGAGTGTTCTAGTCTGCCATGCGCCAATGGAGGAAATTGTGTTGATGAAGTCAACGGCTATACATGTGTGTGCCAGCCAGGATACGCGAATACACGTTGTGAGACGGGTAAGTTAGATGGAAGATAATAATTCTAGATTTCGTATTGTAGTGTCCATGGTGATAGTTAACATTTGAAGCTTATGGGAACATCATGTTTCAGTCTTTTACGAAAATGCTTTTTAATTTCAAAAGAATCAGATCCTGTGGGCATCTGAATGAGTGAAAAAGAACGTACTAAAAATGAAAGAAATGGCGCAGAAATTTCGAATGGTTGAAACGTCATACTATAAATGGCACTTGTTACGAGAATAGTGTGAATATATATATACACGCGTTCAAATCATGTCTTTGGTTCAAATTGGTGCGCCCACATTGTTTTACGTGCACTTTTTATCATCTGATTTATCTGTCATCTAAATGTATAACACTGTGTCAAACAGTTTGAAAAAAGTATAAACCACATTGGAATAATATTATATGGGAGTGTTTGTACATATTTATACAGTGCGTCCCAGATGTTATTTACAAAATCAATCCAAAAACAAACTTTTATCATGAAGAGATTAGGAGCTTTATTAATACAATTCTTACTAATCATTAAGTAAAGTGATTGGTTTCAAAAGTACGTGGATTTCATTAATAAAAACATGATCATTGAGGATTAATGTTTTGAAAACGGCATGTCAGTCCATATTCATTTGTGCCTGATTTTGGGAACTTCATACAGTTTAGTAAATCTTCTCAGAGTGAATATTGTGTTCCATCTTGTAACTGCCGGCAATGTTTACATCCGACTCAATATCTCTCTCAGCAACTACCCCATACTAACATGGAGCCAAAGAAGGAGCAGGGATATCAATGCTCTATTATGCATCTTGGCACGGCAGTAAACAAACACTCGGGCTTTTTGTCATTACAATCACAAGGGAAATACAAAATAATTGGTTCCGTTTTCTTTGGTACGCGTGTCATGATACCTTAATAGTCACACCGCAAAACCGAGTCTATATCGGCCGATTCTTGGCCATTGAAGGTAATAGAATTGTTTTTTGGGGGTCTGGTGTCAGTCTCCTGGTGTGACCGGGGTATAAGACCTAGCGGCCATTTATTTGATGAAATAAATCAGATTTTAATTTATCCTTTTGTTATTGATAATCCTACAGAGATTGATGAGTGCGCCAGTAACCCGTGTGTGAATGGAGCGCCTTGTAACGATCAGGTCAACCAGTATTCATGCTCATGTTCTCCTGGATGGACTGGTGAATTCTGTCACCTTAGTAAGTACAAGTGTACTATGTTAACAAATTCTGTGATAATGTAATCATTTATTTCATAATCAAAATAGACAGTGTTATAAATAGATCATAATTGTACAGACATATATCACAATGTAGCACACTTAAAAACCCTTTGTATTAACTGAAATACTAATTTATGCAGTAGATATTATAACCATTCAATATAACATTGAGATTGGAACTTTATCGTCTTTTCTACTGTCTCAACTATTATCCTTTGTGCTCTCTTATCGCAATTTACAATGTAAATGTGGTCTTTATAGACAGGTAGTCTTTCTATGCCTGGTCGCTATAGCAGTTTGACTGTATTTATACTTGACGAATAGTGAGCGACGAATTCACTCTAATCATTCTTTTCACAGATATTGATGAATGTGCCAGTAATCCTTGTCGAAACGGAGGTACATGCGAGGACATTGTTAATGGATATAACTGCATATGTGCATCTGGGTTTGAAGGCTCTAATTGCGAGACAGGTAAATATTATCTTACATAAACAAAGGAATGTTCATGCTTTGTTTATGTTAAATATCTGCATTCGTATGTACTTTGTTTAATGTTTATCAATATCCATGCCCTTTTCATGAATCTAAAAGGTATTCATTGTCTTTAGAATCTGAGTAATTAAATACTACCAACACGGTTTGTATTTTTTAATGAAAAAAGAAATCTTGAGATAAAGTACTTTTTTTATTGATGATAATTTTGATGAATCCAATCATGATTATTGCAAAATCTTATACTCTTTAATATATCATAAATTGCTATAAAGCACTCAAGCTTCAATATGAATCATATGTTCTGTTATTTAGATGGTATGCATTTACAGTTTATGGGAGTAATATCCATTTCTTTGAACACTATTGAACCAATTCCAAGTTAAGTATTGTAGCAGGTGCGATCATATTTATCGTATTTCATGCCCTGAAACGATAACAGATTCATGCGACAAATATCGATGTTATACATATATTGACTGGTATGGTGTGTAATGTATCGTTCTTTGGGATGCTGAGGGGAGTTATATGTTCCCAAAGGGTTATGTTTTCTCAAAGAGTACAGCGCTGAGAAAAACAATAAGATCAAGGCGGTCCAAATAACGTTATATTGTACACCCAAACCAAGCTAACAGCAAATGTCTGTTTTATTAGATCTTATTACTTTTTATTAGTTCTAGATTCTACTTGGTTTTGATCTACATGCATATAATTTGAAAATAATAGAACCAATCACACATTCATACCAATACGAGCTATCTAATAATGGATTATTTAATGTAATGTTATTTTACAGATATCAATGAATGTCACTATGAATATGACGAACAAAGAAAGCGGACAAAATATACAGTTCCTCGGGTAGATAAAGGAACATCCCTTCACTGCTATTATGTAAAAAGGTGAAAATGCATGTGAAACCTGTTCTACACATTTGTACATAATAGCAGGGAAGGGATGTTCCTTTGTCTACTTGAGGAACTGTATATTTTGTCCGCTTTCTTTGTCAGTCATGTTCATAGTGTGTGCCAGTCAGCCCTGTCTGAACCTAGGTGTTTGCCAGGATGCTGTCAATGGATTCATCTGTGTGTGCAGCTCGGGATGGACAGGAACTATCTGCGATCAAAGTAAGGATCAGTGCTACCAAAGTTACCTCTTCGATGCATATAGCTTTTAAGAAATCTCCATCAGAATACCAGCAATTACAATATTCATAACTTTAAATACAGATACAAGTTTAGACAAAAGGTTTCAAGTAACAAAAGATCTACCGTATATAATATATTCCTTCGAATCTTATACATTTTTAATGTATTTTTCGTTTACAGATATCAATGAGTGTGCAAGCTCGCCTTGTGTGAACGGTGATTGTGTGGACGGAATCAACCGCTATAGCTGTGACTGTGATTCTGGCTGGCATGGTATTAATTGTGACCTAGGTAAGCCAATAGAGTCAAAGATATTATCCGTATTCTGTAAGATGTACCAAGAAAACGTGCAAATCAGCATGAGCATCATCATTTATGAAATTCACCACTTTCCCTCTTACGAGGGGTAACTAACTTTCGCGCCATGATGGCTCTCCTTTCCACCACTTCTCCTTGACTCGACCCCTCTCCTCATTTAATGGTAAATGGGTACCCGGCGGGATGAAATTCCTCGAATGCTTTGGCACATTTTCAAGGTAGCTCGGCTAAAGCTTGGGAAATGTACATCTACAATTTATGAGCATTATGGTTCCAAGGGAGTGAAAGACAAAAAGTTGTATTCTCCCATAAATATTGATTTTGTTTTCTTTGCTCAGATTATGATGAATGTGGACAATCGCCATGTTTCAATGGAGGTGGCTGTATAAATGGATTAGACATGTTTACATGTGTATGCACTTCTGGCTGGACCGGTGTCGTCTGTACTGAAGGTAAGTATACATTATCCCTCCATACTCGGGGATAAATATCGTAAAATTGTCAACTGTAAATTTAAACTAACCTTCATATAACAAAGACGATTAAGAATGTCAAAATTTACTCAGTAGAGCAGAAACACATTCATGAGATGATGTTCCTAAAAAAGCTGACACATTTTATGGACATCAGCATTTGTGAATTGGCTGGAAAACTTTTAACAACAGTTTTATTAAAAGATGTTAATTATATGGATTGATTCTTTGATGTCTGATAAATATACCTAAGATTATTGCAATGATACATTGATGAACGAGCTTTTTACTGCATCTGAAAAGACTAATATCTTAGTAATTAATGCCATATTTTTTCTATTTCTTTCATCAGATGTAAACGAATGCGATAGTAACCCATGTGCCAATGCTATACAGTGTGCCAACGGTCGTAATAGATATACGTGTACGTGTCAGGCTGGGTGGACGGGCACAAACTGTGATCAGAGTAAGTATTTGTTATCAACATTTTATGAAAATCTGTTCATAACAGGGTTTTTAAGCAATGAAATATTCATCCTATATCTGAAGTAAGAAACACTTTAGTATGAATCATGAATTTGTAGTGGGTGAGGTGTTTTTGAAAATGCGATAGCACAGTATTGCAAATTCATGTACGCATTGTGACACACAATTTTGATCATTAAGGTCAAACTAATATGATAAATGTCTCCTTGATCTCTTATTAAAGCATTTCTTTCAAGTACTAAAGACAATAAGTCACTTTCAAATTTGACAGTAAATTGAACTATTATCCATACTTATCTATATAAGTTAGAATCAATTATTTCAACAGAAGACGCAGGGTGAAGAGTCGGTAATGCATATTATGTGGTATTCTTAAATGATTTGTATTGTTGTTGTTTAATTCTTTGTTTTTGTTTTTAGATATCAACGAATGCATCAGCAACCCATGCCAGAATAGTGGTCTATGTGTTGATGGCGTCAATGGATATACTTGTGATTGTCAGAATGGCTACGAGGGAACACACTGTGAAATAGGTATGAATAACTTACATCTAGCCCATAAAATTCAATGATTTCTTGATCATTTACTTGTTGAAACGGAGAATCACTCAAGCGTTCATGAAACCTAACTTATTATGTGCGGAAAGATCATGTGAAATGTGTATTTTGAAAGGATATTGTAGGTAAGATGTTCAATTTTAGTGCAAGAATTGCGCTGCGCTTCCGCAATTAGTTATGTCGGTCGACGGTGAGCGACATACTGTTGTCATATCGACTTGAAGATATCTGACTTGATGTCTGATACCAACGAATACCCGATGGTGAAATCAGCAATACGACTTCCGGGATGCAGCAATATCCCTCACTCTTATAAGGTAAGATCTCTTTTCACTTTCAATTGAGAAACTAATGCTGTGCTACTAACTCACGGGCCAAGACAAGTGGTTTTGAAAGGATTTCAGATTTTGAAAAAACAATACTCAGTCTGATGGGTGCGCTACAGTGATACAGACAACAGACGGAACATTCATGTAACTGATATGTTATTAAAAATAGAAACTTCTGTATCCATGCACTTTAAATACAGTACCTGACATCTCTTTGTTATGATATTAAAATTATATAAAACGTAAAACCAACTAGACCCCGAAGTATGCAAACAGTAACATCGATCTTGCTAAATACAAGCAGATTTAAATATGTTAGCTTCAGCAAACAACAATAAATTTTGTACTTGTCAGATGTTTAAAATCATTAATAATTTAGATTTTGTAGATTTTGATGCATGTGCGGTATTTAAGTTTCCTTTATTCCATTATAATCGTATGCATGAGTACCAATAGCAGTCTACTTACCAGTTATGTTACTGAATATGTTCCCATGGTAATTTTCCAAATTTCTGATGGTTTTATGATAACGGCAAATGTGCACGTACGAGACCCAAAAGACTTCGGTGATCCACTGGTCTCGTCGACCACTCCATCTGGAATCTGAATAGGTAGAAAGATATGAAATAGGAATAGTAGAATCCCTGTCGCGCCAAGCGTTACTTTTCATTATTGTTTTGTTATTATAATATCTATTTGAAGAGTTTCTTTCCAAAAGGAGCTAAATCCAATTTGGGTACTTCTGAGTAAATCGCCTTTTTTATTTCTCCACTTTCCCTTTAGCCATGGACCTTAATGTTGTTATATATTTTAAAGGTGTCACCCTGGACCAATAATATATGATAAGAAAAAAATCTACCAGTGTTTCCTGATTTTTACTAAATTTTTAGAATTTTTGTTTTCGTGGATTTAGCTCCTTTTGGAATGAAACATGATATTGTACCTGGAAAATTTCATATTTTCTCAATAAAGTCACTGAAATGTATTCAAATTTAGTAGCAAACCTTTCCTTTTAAATAATAATAGTGAAATCACAACTAAAAAAACCTTTTAAAAAGAAAGTAAACAACTTATCACATTTTCATTCCAAAAGGAGCTAAATCCGTTTCATTCCAAAAGGAGCTATATCCATGTTTCATTCCAAAAGGAGCTGAATCCACAAAATCTAAAAATTTAGTAAAAATCAGAAATAACTGGTATTTTTTTTTCTTATCATATATTATTGGGTCAGGGCGACACCTTTAACATATATAACAATGTGAAGGTACATTGCTAAAGGGAAAGTGGAGAAATAAAAAAGGTCATTTACTCAAAGTGGATTTAGCTCCTTTTGGAATGAAACCGATTTGGATTTAGCTCCTTTTGGAATGAAACATGATATTGTACCTAATTTTTTTTTTATACTTCCTAGTGAAATTTTCGAATGTGATAAAGTGCATTTTGTTCCCATGTAGGAAATCATTATTTTAAGACAAATAACTCCATTTTGATAAAATATGGATTTAGCTCCTTTTGGAATCAAGCTCTTCATTTGTCTCTTATCAATCGACTGTTCGCAGAAATAAACGAGTGTCTAAGCCTACCATGTCAGAATTCCGGAGTATGCACTGATCAGATCAACGGGTATATCTGCACCTGTTTGCTTGGATTCCAAGGACCACAATGCCAAAATGGTGTACCTTTTATTATTCTTGAATCCAAGATCTTTTAAATCTCTGATGTCATCCTTACCATTTTCACTCTGAACTCTTCCTTTTTGTCATCTGGACATTTTGTATCAGCTTTACTACCTATTTGATTCATTATCTAGAAATGATATATTTGATGCTAATATATCTCTCCTATAAGTTATTCGCCACTATGTTGTATATGTACTTATCTACCTTTGTATCATTTGGTAAGATACCTTACTAGTGTTTTATAAAATTATATAAATATTACAAAGAAAGTTTATCTGTAGATTAATTCATCTAAAGTTTGTTTCCATGTTCTTAATAGAGATACACATTAACAGAGAATTGATGACAGAGAAAGAGAGAGAGAGAGAGGGAGAGAGAGAGGAAGAAGGTGGAGAAAGAAGAGGATGGTGGATAGTGGTGATATAATTTATTGCATAAAATGATATTTGAGTAGCTTATCTTCACAACATTTTGCAGATTATATTACCAACTCCAAATTGACATACTCCTAATAACCTAATAGGATTATGTCATAATTTTATTATTTTCAATTATTCTCGCTTGTTTTCTTTTCAATTGGTCTTCATCATCTAACATGTTTATATCAAAAGTAATGCCTGTGTCGGTAACAATCGTTTTTCCTTCATTCATACAGAGATCGATGAATGTGCGAGTAACCCGTGTTTGTTTGGTGACTGTGTGGACATGATTGCTCGCTTCAGCTGTGTCTGTTTGGGCGGCTATACTGGAGTCACATGCGGAGAAAGTAAGTTACGTGGAATGTTGACTAATGTCTTAGAAACTGTAGATCTCAGTTTGAAAGGTTTATATCTGTCTTTTGTAGTGCTGATTCATATCAATTGAGAAATTTGTCCTTGCTTATTAAAAGTTTTATAAAGTGTTTTCAGCAAATTTGAATTTTCAACCAAAAAAAATTCCCTGTTGCCAAGCCATTTTATTCGATATGCCCATTCTAAAACTCTTGGTGCCACCCATGAATTAAATAATTGTCATTAATTGTTTTTTCTTTAAATTATGATTGTAAAATCTCTTGCTCGTACATGATACCAATAATGTTACTTTGTCTTTCACCACAGATATCAATGAATGTGTTAGCAACCCTTGTGATAATGGAGGAATCTGTGACGATTTAGTGGCTGCCTATCAGTGCGCATGCACGTCGGGATGGACTGGCGATAACTGCCAGCAAAGTAAGTAGAAATACATTTTATTTAAAAGAGCAATTTCTTGGTTTGGGTTTCAAACCATAACAGTGATGATGATGGTATCCTTATTTACTGTATATACCCTCCTTGAAAAAACAATGTGTCCCAAACAACAATAAAAAAAAAAAGCTTTATTACATTGTGTCACATCGTCAAAGGCATTCTATTGTCAAAACTTTAAAAGTGATCCCAATCATTTGTATGGTCACACAGTGTGCAGGTACAATTAATAACCTCAAATATTAAGTTGATATTTGAAAAGGGCAGAGGAGTGACAATACTTTCAAAATGGTAAATTAATACTTGTAACATGCCGGATTCAACCGTTATACAGTTGATCGGTTAACACTTCGTTTTTCATAGTGTAGGATATATTTTACATTCATTATGATGTTTGATGCATATTGTCACTTGCAGAGAAATCAAAATTATTGCTAACCCACTTTGTTTTGTTCCATTGTGTTTGTAGATATCAATGAATGTAATAGCTTGCCATGCCAAAATGGAGGAAACTGCGGAGATTTGGTGAATGGATACATCTGTTCATGTGCTTCAGGCTACACTGGGACAGTCTGTGAAACAGGTGACGCCCTTACCCTTACTAAGATTCAGTTCCACAAAAGAGTAGGCCATTTTTTAAGTTGGGAAGGAAGATAATTATTGATTCCTTATGTATCTGTATCTGTGAATGTTTATAGTGAAATTGAGACAGGACATGTCTTCGGTTATAAATTTATTTTAGTGCCATATCAGAAAAAAACATTGCAAAGAAATGACAAGCCACATTAACCTTTCATCTAGATAGGACCAAGTAGTGTGTAATATATCATCACAGAAAAATGTTCATGAATGATATGTCTTAAAGTGGAATTACGACAACATACTTTTATAAAAGTAAAACAGAGGTAAAGAGAAAAGGATGAAGATTCGAGAAAAAAATTCAACAGATTTTAGATCATGTAACGCACATCTACGCCCACATTTTGTATTAATTGAAGGAAAAATGATTATTTTGAATGCCGTGTTTTATTCATATAACAGATATCAATGAATGCGAGTCCAATCCATGTCAGAATAGTGCACCATGTTCAAACCAAGAGAATGAATTCGTCTGTAGCTGTCCGGCAGGTTACGATGGAGAGATGTGTGAAAACGGTGAGTGGATTTTGTTAAAGATGGACAAAGAATAAACATTTATCGCAACATAAAGACATTTAGCTCTTTGAAATGACAATACGAGGACCGATACAATTATAGTTTGTTTGTGATCGATGAGAGTTATATAAGTGTATATAACTATTTCAAACTAATTACGATTATATCATTATCATACCTTAATTATCCAGAGGAAGATGTTTTATTTACGAAGTATCAAGTTTCCTAATGAAGCACAGGACTTCAATGATTGCTCATATGTTTGCTGTTGATGTGCATTATACATAATTATATCAATCCATGACAAAGTCTGCCTCATAAGATTTGTATATTTCATTATTGGATTGTATTTAGTGATGATGAATTATAACCTTAACTTAATAGAGGAAAAATACAATTATTCATTAAGTAGTTGTGAACCCTTGGTGCTATATTATTATACAAGATAATGTTGTTGATGTTTCTTGTAATAATAATGATAACAATAGTGGGTTCTAGTACAGTGCTCACGTCTGTCAGACTTGGAACACTCCTGTTGCTCCACAATATTAGTACCCCCGCCTTTACCAGTATCCTCCCAATGACACATTTCACGAGTACGACGGTTATTTACACCACTTTTTGTATTAATTGCGAAAATACATATGTTTTGTCAGAGATTGATATACGTTTATTAGAGGTAATAATTCTTTATGTTGACTCTTGTAATGCTACATTATATACAAGTATTATTTGATTATCTTTTTTACGCAGATATCAACGAATGTAACAGCGCCCCTTGTCAGAACGGGGGAACATGTAATAATGAAATCGATGGGTTTACCTGTGATTGTAGGAATGGATACGGAGGAATCATGTGTCAAACTGGTATGTTCGCCTACGATATTTTAACTTGTGATGTAACATTGTATGGTGACATAAGGTAGGGTGTTTGTCAGCGAATATCCAATTGGCTTAAAAGGTGCCACGTGGAGTATCCACAATGTGTTATATGAGCATGAGCACACGATATATTTGTATATTATCATTTTTGTTTGTTTGTTTCTGTGATTAAGTAATTTTCAATTGTTTAAAGCACTTTCTTCTTGTTCTAATCCTTTGGTCATTTTTACCTACGAGCTGCTACGAAATGTTGCATTCTTACAAAGAGGTATTAAACCAAGAACATCACCGAAAACGTATGTTGTACTACAGTACATACGTTTTCATCGGAACTATTGCTGTCTGTTTGTCCCCCCCCCCCCTCATCTCTCTCTCTCTCTCTCTCTCTCTCTCTCTATCTCTCTTCCTTCGACTACTCTTGAAACTGCTTTGCTTTTGACTTTCCTCAAAGAAATTTTCTAGTTAGATTGAATGTGCATTACTACTTAATATATACTAAAGCATTCCTTTGCCGTTGTTTTGTTCACGAATTAAGTCTGACGGTGTATCGATTTTGATATCTGACCAGCAAACGCAAAATGAAATTCTTTACGTAATTAATGAATATATTTACAGTTTGCATACATGGACTTAGCCTAATGCATCCCATAAATACTTTAAACTCTTCATGTGTTATACCATTCTCACAATTTTTTTCATTTCTGGTATATTTATTCTTATTTTCATTGCTAGAAATCAACGAATGTGAAAGCGACCCATGTTTGAATGGAGCAGACTGTAATAATAACCTAGGTGCCTGGGAATGTTTATGCGCCCCTGGATTTACCGGAATCATGTGTGAAACAGGTTAGTAGACGTTCTCTTTCAACAAAATATTTTCAGGCGCATTTTACTACGAAATCGAAATTGCATTGTTTGGCTACAGTGCATTTTGCTTATACATGTATATGAAATTTCATGCCTTTTATTTTATGTATTTACAAAGAGTTTCACGATGGAATTGAATTAAAAAAGTGAACTGAACTGAAATAAAGTTTCATTACGTCATATAATGTGGTTAGACTTCCAACGATATCGAGAATGATTTAGAAAACACATTTATCTCTGTAAATTATTGTTTAATAATGGATGTTGTGCATGCCTAAACAAATACGATGCAGAAAGGTGATCGAATAGCCTTTTATTTGATCATCACTTTGACCAAGTTTGTCAAATCGGATTGATAATGTTTTTTCTTTCCTATCATTTTCAGATATTGATGAATGTTCGTCTTCCCCATGCCAGAACAACGGAACATGTGTAAATGAAAGGAATCATTATACATGTGAATGCAATGCAGGTTACCAGGGATATAACTGTGAAACAGGTAAACATTCTCCGCAAAATAATTCTGTTAATGTAAGGAGTTGGCTTAGAATGATTGTATTATGTGAGATATTATAGAAGAGCTCAGTGTGTGCAGATGCCAATACCATGAAAGACTCTTGTCGTTTTTCTGTTTTTCTCTGTTTGACGCTCAGTATTGTCGTTTTAACACTTCCATATATATTGTGCAATTGTGAACAATAGTCATTTTAAGTATTAACAATTTTTGGCTGATCACACCGGCAGTCTCTGTAAGGAGAGTCTCGAATATGCCAATCAAATTGGTTCGCTGCCGCTCATATGATGTTATGTTTCACCAATCTATCAAAGAAACTTAAGTTATAAACCATTTCTTACACATGTAACATAAGAAATATGTGGAGTACACAATATTAGAATATAAATGTACACTAATTTTGTAAAAAGGGGACATTCCATGACATGGCCAACTAAATGATCATATTTCTATCATATTATATTCTGTGTCCTAGTCTTTGTCATGTCATTTTATGACTTTGAAACAAGAGTTAATGCTATGATCAGATATACACTCGATTTTTGTATTGATTTTGACAAGCACATTTCCTGTCTTTTCAGAAATCAACGAGTGTTATAGCAATCCCTGTACTAATGGAGGGACCTGTACTAATCTGATAGATGAATTCGAGTGCGCATGCCTACTTGGTTTCACGGGAGAACGCTGCCAAACAGGTGTGTAGTCTTGTTTAACCCTATCTAGCAATATAAAGCAATTGATATATAGTGAGGATATGACGTCACCAACTGATAACCAAATTGGAAATTTGTGTAGTGATTTCACTTGTTCTATAGTTTTACATACTTTTTCAAAAATGCATAACTTTCTTATTAGATATCCGATTTTGCTCAAACTTTTTTGATTAGTATGTCTGATTTCTTTGTTTCTATGGAAAGTAAGATTTTTTTGGAGTAGACTTGTACTCTATCAGATATGAAGCGGTATAATGCGACTGTTATTTTACTACTTGCAAATGAATAGCAACTTTGCACAACAAAGGTCTTACGCGTATTCACTTAGTTCTGTGCTCTAGGAAACAGAAATATGAAGTATATTTCACTCACGTCATGATATATGTATATACAAACAAACATTAACACCGCAGTTTACAGCGCCATATGACAAGGCTAATCATCCAATCAGCCATTAGAGATCATTCTAAATAATCTGAAAGTTGGATTATTTAAGTTTCTTCTTTAAATCAGTATGTGGTTGTTATTATCATAAAGATTAAAAGTATTATGTGATTATCATCCTCAAAAGTATAAGTGAAATCTAAACTATGCAATATAGGTTTTATACATTCAAGATTGGCCTTTTCATTGATAAAATCTCATTTTCATTGATAAAATCTCATTTTCATTGATAAAATCTCATTTTCATTCCAAAGTTTTATTAATATTTCATTTTTTATTTAAACATTCATTTTAATAAACGAATTTTTCTACCTGTGTTTTTTTCTTCAGAAATCGGGGAATGCAGTAGTGCGCCTTGTTTAAACTCTGCCACCTGTGTCGATCAAGTGAATGGATACAGGTGTCTTTGTCCGCCCGGATGGGCAGGTATCAATTGCGATCAAGGTATGGTCTTCTTCCTAGCTTTATCAAAAGGGATTATAAACCATTTTGTACATTCTGCAGCAATGATCTTTAAAAGATTTGTTTGAAAAAATTCTATAATGTATCAAAACCTATCATTGTTATCTCTTGATGTAAAAGATAAATCTTGCAAACGGATATCACAGGTCCAATAGCCATTCACTGCGTTGGTTCACTCGAGTACGACATTGGTTCGTTAGCATCTAGAACTTCAAATCGGAAGTCTCCCATAATTTTGATAGCTTCATGTCAATTTGATTTATCATTCGATGTAAATTCTGAAAGCCCCCGAGTTCATTTCATTTACGAAAGGAATGAAGTTAGTCATTAATTTTGTTGTCGTTGTTACGTTGTCAACGCACTTTCACTGAAGATAGAAGTCCTATCTACACACTGCAACGCACTTTAATTGTATACGCTGCGTATTGCTCTCCTCTTAAAGCGCTTTTTTTTAGTGTTATACAGTGCGTCCCAGAAAAAACGAAACCGAGAAGTATCGATGTTTTATCATAACTTAATCACAACCATAATTAATGAATGATATATATTTAGAAAGCTTAGAGTCTCCTCTTTTAGTTGATGCTACTCACGTGATGCATATTTAAACAGAACTTTGTCATTCCTCGCTCATTGTTCCTGATTGAGGTGTCATATGAAAGGGCAGAAACTCAACTTTCTAGAAATGTGAATTTTTCTTTGAAATGCAGATACCGCCCGCCAAATGTCTTTTTGGTTTCCTTCCTTCAAATTGCTTTTAATCACTCATGCGTGAAATATGCATTATCTGAGTAGCATCACATGAAAGAAGAGACTCTAAGCTTTCCAAATATGTATCATTCATTAATTATAGTTGTGATTAAGTTATGAAAGAACATCGATACTTCTCGGTTTCGTTTTTTCTGGGACGCACTGTATATAGTACGCGAACTTTGGCCACGCGCGAACTATATGGTCATTATATTTAAACGTCTTTGGTCACACCACCATACTGCATGCACTGTACGTATAGTACACCGTTTGCTAGCTGATAGTTTGTTCCATCACCTTCACCAACGGTAATTATTTGCTTACTAGTAGGAATAAATCATTGTCAAAATAACGACAGTGTATATATCTAAATTAGTAACCATGAGAGGTAGCAGGATATTACAACCCTTGTCACGTTTACCCGATTCACACTCATGCTAATATTACTATTAAAACTCTGGTCGATTATGACAGATATTGACGGATGCGGTAGCAGCCCATGTCAGAACAATGGTATGTGTATTGATCAAGTCAATGGATATCTCTGCGGCTGTTTGGATGGATTCGCAGGAACACACTGTGAAAGCAGTAAGTTATTATATACTAAAAATATTTTGTGATTTGATAATAGCCAATCTACCAAACAAAGTCAGGTTATTTTCTCCAGTCATCCAGCTGTTTTTTGCATTTTCTCTAATTTATTTTGCCGATCGATATTTTAAGCACACTGCAAATCAGGTGCGATATGATGTCGTAAATATTTTTCTGACTCATCTGTCCATTGTAAATCGAAATAAGATAACGACTATCGTTGACATGACTTTCAAATCCAAATCAAAATAGTCTTTTCTCTATTTAACTTCTGTCCTGCGACTTCCCCCAACAAACTCTAATTCGTTTAAAATATATTCGAAAGAATTTATATCAGATACATAAAATAAAGTGTCATCTGCATATTGCAGCAGTTTCAGATACAAATAATGATAATGATAATAATAATGATAATAATGATAACAATAATGATCATAGAAATTATAACTATGATAATAATAGTAACAATAAGATTTGTAAGGTGCAAAATTTGACTTGAAAATAAGTTCTCTGGGCACACTTGTGCAAAAAATATAAAATAACGCATCATTTTGCATATATCATCACACAGACATCGATGAATGTTTCAGCGGGCCATGCTTTAATGGAGCGACTTGTCTTGATATGATCGATGGCTATGAATGTGAATGTGCACCAGGGTGGAATGGAACTACTTGTGGAATAGGTAAGTAATAATCTCTCTTTGGAGTTTCTCTCATGCTTGGCTATTCCGTGTATCGACAATTTCATGTAGTATTTCATGTCAGAAATGCACCAATTTCTTTATAAAAAGATTGATAATACATTTTGGTGATTCTTCTTTCAGTCAGGTGGTGCAAGCTGCGCTGCTGTGGCCATTACAAGTTTATCCCATCCTTCTCTGTCTGATTTTGCTTTGGTTGCCTCTGACAGCTTTTTCCCTGCCCATATGTATATGTTTTTCAACCAGGAAATAGCAGGTCTGCCTCTTCTTCGCCTGGTTTCCACTGTTCCTGTTATAAGGGACTTTCCAAGACCATCTCTCCTTTCTACATAGCCAACAAACTGCAGTTTCCTTCTGGCAAAACTCTTTAGGTGTAACATATCTGTACCCAGCTTGCCCAGCACCCATCCGTTTGTTCTTCTGTCTGTCCACGCAACCCTCATTATTCGCCGATACACCCACATTTCAAACGCATCTACTTCTAGTCATGGCCCATGTCTCACGTCCGTTCTTAGCAAAGGGAATATCAATGCTATCTTTAACTGTATACTATTATTTCCCCAGCTTCTCCAGATATTCGTCGATTTCTCCTGATATTCGCCATTTCTGAGTTGTATTCCTTGCAATTGATAATCTCCTTTTGATTTCTTTCTCACTTCATCCTTTAGCACTAACAGATGGTTCCAGGGCCCTGTATGACAAAGAGTTGATATCAATCGCAACTTATTTGCGATTGATATTAATCGTAACAATGTTCATACAAGATCGGAGACTAAAAACTTGCGATTGATTGGAGGATTTGGATCAATCGCAACTCTTTGTAAGACGGGGCCCAGTTACATGAAAGCCATGACTTCATCAGTTTTTTTCTCCATCCAAAATAAAGTCATTACAATCTCTTCGATTACTGTCTATTAGTATTATCTAACTGTGGCTGAAGGTTTTGAAGGTGGAGTGAAAATTGGAGGACAGAGAAGGCACAATCTCAGGTATGCAGATGATACAACTTTAACATCACCAGCAGGGAGGAGCTGCCAGACATGCTGAGAAGAACAGGCCAGTTATGAAAAGAATCTCCTCTTAAACACATAGAAGACAAATATATTAGTAATTTTGGTATTAGGCCAGCACAAATTATCTTGTAATGTAGTCACTCTAGGGAGTAGGCAATGAACGGACTAGAAACAGATAAAAGAGATTCGGGATGAAGAAAAGTAAAATTGAAAAAAGTAAGACGGCGGTAAAGAGAAAGGGTAAATTTTGCCAAAATTTGTTTAACATATTTTAAATGATGTACCGCACATCTTAGTTTTGTAATAATTGACTGTAATTTTGATTATTTCTTCATCAACGACATCAGATGGAATATGAATGGGTTCATTTAGATTCAGACAGCACCAACTTAAGTAGATCTAATTATATTTCACTGTACCTTTGTAGCACGTTACTCAATATACCTCTGAATATTGTCTAATTTGATGTGCTAAACTGATTTCGTCGATGTCATTCCCCTTTAATATATCATAATAAAAAAAGGCCGTTTGCTAATATTTTAACCTATTATCAAACTTAACGCTGACAGATTTATAGTTTTAATTCTGAAATTATTATAATGTGCTTAATTTATCTTCGTCATTATTTAGTTGTTAGAATGGATACAGTTGTTCAATAGATTTTTGATGAAACCATTTCGCTATTCACCCCCGAACGGATTTTAACGAGTGTGCTAGCGGGCCTTGTGATAATGGTGGTATATGTCCCAATGGCTTCAATTTATACACCTGCGATTGCCCATCTGGTTTCTCTGGACTCAGGTCTGAAGTCAGTAAGTATGAGATCAAACAAGAATGGCTCTAAGATTCCAAACTTTGCTAAATCTTCAAAGGCTCCATAATTATACACGTCTCAAGCTATACCACTTTTATGCCATGTAAAGTTATGTTTTATTTTTATTAAAAAAAACAACAGTTGTAAATATACCCAAAAAAAAGAATTAGATGCTTGAATTAATGTGAAAGATTACAAGATTCGCAAGCTGAGTCATTTGATAGCAATGATGGTCTAATTACATCACGTGAGAGGAAAGACAACTCGGTACTTGTCGTGTTTCAATAAACCTTAATCCTCCCTTTGTATAGATCGAATTCATTATCTTATCTGTTACTCAGATAAATGGCAAAGTCGTAAAACAAACTTCAAACGCAAACTACGAGCTAGTATGGCAGAGTCATTATATAAGTAGAGAATTAGCAGTCTTCATTTGTGTAATCTCAAGGAGGTGCTTCTGACCGTGAATGTTATTAGGCGCTTCATCAAGGATTGTGACGTGTACTGCTTGATATTTCAGTTTGTGTAAGTATGATATCTCAAAATAACTTTGTCTCTCAACATTGGCATCCATCATCCTCCCCTCCTCTTATTCCTCCTCCTCCACCTCCCTCCTCTTTCTCCTCCCTCTCCCCTCCTTCTCCTCTTTCTCCTTCTCCTGACTGGGTTTGTACAATGCCTATTTCATTTCATCCTGGACGATCATTCTCATCAAGAGCCCACTTGAGCCCATCAGAGATGATTTTCAATGCTAGTTGTTGAATTATATAGTCCTTCTGAAATATTGTTTTCTTTCAGTGCAATAATATAACTTTACTTAATAATTAAAGTGTTGTACAAGAGAAAAGTAGAACTTGTATAGATTTAAAGACATTACAGTGCCTTTGCAGTTTCGCATAAATAAAGGTTCTTATCCTATTACGATTTGCCGTGTTAATACTTATATTTTTCTGCTCCAGTGATTAAGCAATACAGTGTACCAAGATGGATGTTGTACCTCCACTGACCCTCCTGGTAACCACTGGATACCTCTTGATGCTCTTCTTCAACTGGCAGGCAGGGGTAGGACCAGACTCTGAGTTCTCTTTGGGTAAGGTTTGCAGCGATGCCATTACTGTCAATTTTTACCATTTATAGAAGGCTCTTCATTATTGCTCAAGAAGTTTAATAAAGGGGGTGAACTAAAATGCAAGCTGGTATCGTGGTTTCGCGGGGATAAGTCAGTATGGATCAAAAGGTTGGTCTACCGGGGTTTGAATGACTCTCTCACGACACGTCCTTCCTTTTTACAAGACATTCACGCAGGTGAAAGAACGGGAGACCCGGCGGTAGGAAAAAGACAATCGTTGCATGCTTGATTGCTATTGTACCTCGGCTGCAGCAGGGGTACTTCACAAATTTGTGACGAGAAGGTCAACAATTTTTTAGAGGTTGAAAACTGGGGCTGCTGCTGCCCCCGAGATCAGAAAAGTTTATATTTCAGCCACCCCCCCTTGCCAATTCGTGCCCGTACGCATTATGGTTCCTTTTCTTAGAACAAAATATTAAAAGAAAAATGTCTGCTAATGTTATCCGAACCATTCTGGTAATATACTTCCTATTGAATGATTTTTAATTGTTATTGACAAAATACAGGTCTCTTTCGCTCCACGCCCGGAAACCGGTCGCGCGAGTTCCAGTCACCTATCGCCCCTGCAGGGTACACCTTCGGTATTTGGGGTGTCATCTATTCAGGAACAGGGACCTGGATCATCTACGTCATCACCACCCTGTTCAGAACCAATGCCAAGGGACCTGTCTATCTTAACCCTCCTACTACCAGTCCAGCATTTTTGGTTTCAATCATGCTCGAATTCACTTTCAACGTTACCTGGCTGTTCTGTTCTGATCGAGAAGTGATGATCTTGAGTCAAATCGCATTCTTATTGCAAAACATCTGCCTGTATGTTGCTATTAGTATATCCGCTGCTAGGGTCTACCAGTATCTCTTTGTCTTCAAGGAATACGGAAAGTAAGTGTGATTTATAATTTTGTTTTGATCATCTACCAATTTAGTATTTGTGATGTAGAAATTTGGATTAGAGGCGCGATGGCTCAGTGGCAGAGCAGTGGTCTCGTAACCTAGAGGTCCCGTGTTCGAAACCAAATCGATGCTCTCGTGCCCTTTGGTACAGCACGAATCCTCGTTCCCAAGCCCCTCGGAGAAGACGTAAAGCCGTCGATCTCCTGGTTTCTCACTTACTTAGCAGTCAGGTAATACAGTTATCAAACAAACATTACAGAAGAGAAATCATTGTGGGAGCACCGTAGTATACTGTCAATCGATCCTTGCTCGGCACTGAAAAGTTGTTTTACCCACATTTGCCCCTCTCGATCCAGGTGTGTTAATGGAATGGGTATCTGACATTGCTAGGGTAATGCAGGGTCCGCAAGAAGCCAAGTATTGATACTGATGTTGCTACCCTGGGTATAACAATTCCTCATTATTAATATGAAATTCGAATGAAATATGATAACTTTATAACCATCTTTTGATTTACTTAGATTGGACTTGTGGTTGAACCGCATCCTGATTCACAACGTACTAGCTATTTGGGCTACATGGGTTACTGTCGCTTCTAAAATCGGTATCTCTACAATACTTATATACGTGTTTGGAGTGGATCAGTAAGTAGAATCAGCATACTAATATTCAACCCCTTCATTTTATTATGTTTGTCTCTCCAAGAATATGTTTGAAAGAAGTGAAATAATATTTTTTTGTTCTGACAGTATGGAACTTTAATTGGAAATAACGAAATTGTTTCTGGGTTTTTTTATTTTTGATAGAAACAATATTTTACACTGTTTTCAACAACACTATACATACAAATTGCAGCATGAAAGTCTCGGCTAACGTTTTAAGTATTTAACGTTATGCCGTCTACGTATCACAACAGAGTATTTATATAATAATAATACAATAATGCATTATGTGGTCAATGACAAAATATTATTTGACATATACATTGCACCTAATAAAGTCTATAGTGGAAAGCGCTTCATGTCATTATGCCATTTTATCTTACGATGCAAGCCATGTGCCAAAATTACCAGAGGCAGGTGGATTCAGGCGCGTACACAGGGGGAGGGGGATGGGGTTACCCCCCTTCAGCTTTTTGTTATGTGTATGTTTTTGGGGAACCCCCCTTTAATTAAAAGAAGAAAAAATCCTAATGGATGACCACAAAAGGTTAAACCCCCCTCTTGAAAAATATCCTGCGTACGCCACTGGGTGGATTTACCATGACTTGTATACGTAGTGCACATGACCATTTTTATATTGTATTACACCAATTTGAGGTGATTGATGAATCTTAATCTTTCATTTTACAGAGAAACAACCGTCTATGTATGTTTAGGCTTCCTGGCTTCTCAGCTCATCACCTATTTTATCTTGGATTGTTTCGTCTACGATCGCTACTTTCGATACATTCTCATCGTCTACCCTACAGCAATGTGGGCTTTAGGTGGTATCCTAGTCAACAACATTGATAAACCTACCAGCCCACAGGCCGTCTTAGCCTCTACGCTCTTCGCAATCGTCTTCGTCTTCTTCGTCGTTAAAACCATTCTCGTCATCGTTCGCGATCCCGTATATGTGATCGCTAAGCAGAAGAAAGCCGATGATGTCGCCTATTCAAGAATGGTTTAGTGACACGGAAATCGCATATTTTCAGTCCTTTTTCTTACTCTATTTTGTTTCAAGTATGACAAATCTTGCTAATACTTCCGATCTACAGTAATTGATATTATGTAACGTTACTATTGGTTACTGAATAATTTAGTTCGAACATTGAGTGAAAGGCAAATGTAACGAGATAGATTAAAACGTGCATGATATCACTTTCATCACACATTTTAAATGCTATTCCGATTCTTCGTCTTATCATTGTTATATTTACGTTACATTATCCAGGGGCAATTACTTTGATTTTTTTTGGGGGGGGGGGAGGGGGGGGGAGGGGGGGGGGAGGGGGAGGGGGTTAAGTTTCCAGTAGTTATATTCAGGAGGATATTAGCCCTGAAATGCGAATGAGAATGACTGTTATAGTGACGTGTATGTGTGTAGTGGTAGTAATTTAAGTGATATTGGATGTTTTGATTAAAGTTGATTCGATGACATTGGCACTTGGAAGGGGCAGAGGAAAAAAGAGATCTATAATGATGATTGCAATCATTACATGACAGTATTCCAACGCAAATTGCTGAATTTCTGCTGTTCAAATTTTGTCATGGAAATAACCATAATGACATCGATTTGTCTTAATACGATTATAGAGAAATGGAAGAAAGATGCTGATACAGTTGTATATATATATGGGTTCGAATAAAGTGACAATGGTTATGTGGATGAAGTCAAATATGATGATGATTATGATGATGAGGTTAGTAATACTTTTATGATAATGATTTTATTATAATTTAAAATGGACTTACCTTTCCTCTCACCTTTCTCTTTCTCTCTCTCTCTCTTTCTCTCCGTCCCATTTACCACTAAATAATAATTTTCAAACAATTTTCTGAACTACTATATCAGCTTAATCAACAAAATCTATCCCTGAACGTGAAAAGCATAAAGCACAGAACTACATAAAACGAGAAAATGTCACCTTGCGGAATTTCCTTTTTATGTCGCAGTCAACTTGTTCATGTAGGCAGGAGGGGGCGAGGAGGGGGCAGACTGTATCAACGGGACTGATAATTTTTTTTCAGATACCCATTATCGGAAAGGTGTTACCATATATTCTTGGTCCATGTGGTCATGGTGCCCATCCTTCGTATATACACCAACTGTCCAATAACCTCCACAGTATTGCAGTAAGAGGGGGACGAGACCTTTATACTCAACGCAGGTTTTTCCCATCCGCCTTGACTTGATTCGAACCTATAAGATCTTTTGTTCTACATGCGGGCACTGTCTGTACCCATAGCTATAATTTCCCTTTTAACAATGATACGTGCCTCTTTTCCTTTCTGAAAAGTGACCTATCCCCTTTTCATAAATGCCCATGTTCACCTCTTAAAAACACCCTTTTCATCCCTGGTGAGTGCCTCAGGTGTAGGTCGTGCCCCATTTCACCTCTGATAATAACCGTTTGTACTTTGACACGTGCTCCTTTTCTTTTCTAATAAGTGTCTTATCCCTTTCGATAATTGTCCCCTTTTCCTCTCATAATTAAACATGCCCCTCATTTAAAGCGACAAAGATCGAATTCCGCCAAAACTCGCTCGCATTTATGGGTGATATAATTATCTTACTTATTAAAGGTCTGTTCAGTCTTCCTTATTAGAATGTGCTTACACCCCCATCAGGATTGGGGTCCCCCCTCTTTATAAGATGTGAGTATTCGCACTGCGACCTTATAGATCTTTACAATTTTCATCGATCGTTTCGCACACGCGAATGAATATTCAGTCCATCACACCCGACTGCAAAATATCTTGTACGATGCACAGAAGAAACAAATATTGAAACAATCCCTGATAATGTGATCACAATGATGTAGGGGTATATATATATAAGAATGTCTAAACATAATTGTATATTTTCGCCTTTCTTTTTCCCCAGAAAGTGCCCTTTTTTAATTTGTACTCGATTGATTTTGAAGGGGCAAAATGTTCCAAAGATCAGAAGGAGGAGAATGAGTCGAAGAAGAAGAGGAAGAACAAGAACAAGAAGCTAGTAGAAGATGCCAAGGCTCATTAATTTTGATCATTTATACGTTATATATATATATATATATATATATATATATATATATATATATATAAATACATGTATATCCGGTAGGGATGGATTTGCATAATTATTAATGAGTCTTTCTCTCATATGGGATTTACAATCATTTAGACCAATCACAACATAGCCATACCTTGTGATTCCAATTCCCATTCGCATTGCATTGTTGTTTTTTGTGGGGGCGGGGGATTTCGCTGAACCGAAATTGGAATCCTATAACTTTGATACCAACAGGTGTGAACCGGATGATAGGGTTTACATATTTTCAAATGTATATCGTGATAAAAGACTTATGGAAAGTGTCAGATTTTAACCCCACTCATTTAGAATTAAGCTTCCATGGTTTATTTCTCCATTGCCAACCCTTTGCTGGAATCACTTTTTATAGCCACTAAAACGGGCAATTTTATGCAGACAACACATTCTTTTAATACGTTTGAATTTGTCTCTTGTTTTATAATATTCAAACATGAAAATAGAGATAGGGTCAGGAGTTGGTCAAAAACTTTGACCCAATAGGGATCATAGTTACTAGATAGTACTGAAGAGGGCAGATACCTACGAATTGAATGGCAAAAAAAAAAGAGTCAAATAAGAAAGAAAGGGAAGATTAAACTAGAGAGAGAGAGAGAGAGAATGAGAAAGAATTGGAACTGGAGAGAAGGATACAGAAATATAAAGACAGAGAGAGGAGAGGGAGACAGAGAGAGAGAGAGAGAGAGGGGGGGGAGAGAAGAGGGGGTGGGACGGAACGTAAAAAGGAAATGAGAACCCCTAGCCTCCACACCTGCCGCTTAAAATTGCCTTAAATTCACATATCATCCATGAGTGCCATTAATTTGAAAAGTTTGGCCAACCCAGTTCGAGTAGGGTACACGGTGGCGAATACTGCTTTGCTGGGCAACCTCATTTAACAAACTGATTTTTGCCATGTAGTGACCAACCTGCCCTGCATGCAGTAAGACTGGCGCCCTATCAACGTCTGGAATAAGTTCTTAGGATATTAGTATAATAAGTTTGTATTTATTTAACAAATCTAATTCATGAGCACTTCGCTCAAAGGACTTACAAACTCATATTAGCAAAGTTATATCTATGTATAATGACACTTACACTGTGAAAAGGTTGGGCAATATTTTTTTCAACACTTTGCCCAACGTTGTGCCAACCATCTATTGGGCAATATTTTGCCCAGTGGTATTGATAAACGTAAGAACCCTACTTCACGCATGCATAATTGTTTCGTATTTTGTCCAAGATGTGGGCAAAGATATGACCCTTCAACTGCCCGACTATACGGTAGCCCACTTGTTGGGAAAATCTTAACCAGCTGTTGGTCAAAATACGAAACAATAATGCACGTACTTACGTTTACCAATACCACTGGGCAAAATATTGCCAAATAGATGGTTGGGTTGACTATTGGCACAATGTTTGGCAAAGTGTTGGAAAATATTGCCCAACCCTTTCACAGTGTACAAACTTTGCTAAATCTTCAAAGACTTCATAATTATAAACTCTCAAGTCATACCACTTTATTGCCAGGTAAAATACTGTCTTTTCTTTATTAAAGTGAGAAGTACTTCATAACAACAGTTGTAAATATACCCCAAAGAAAGAATTAGAGGCTTGAATTAATGTAAATGATTACATGATTCGCAAGCTGAGTCATTTGATAGCAATGATCGTCTAATTATATCACGTACGAGGACAGTCGACTCGGTACTTGTCGTGTTTCAATAAACCTTAATCCTCCATTTGTATAGATCGAATTCATTATCTTATCTGTTACTCAGATACATGGCTAATTCGTAAAACAAACTTCAAAGGCAAAATACGAGGTGGTACGGCAGGGTCATTATATAAGCACAGAATTAGCAGTCTTCCTTTTTATAATCTCAAGGAGGTGCTTCTGGCTGTGAATGTTATTAGGCGCTTCATCAAGGATTGTGACGTGTGCTGCATAATATTTCAGTTTGTGTAAGTATGATATCTCAAAATAACTTTGTCTCCCAACATTGGCATCCATCATCCTCCCCTCCTCTTCTTCCTCCTCCTCCACCTCCCTCCTCTTTCTCCTCCCTTTCCCCTCCTTCTCCTCTTTCTCCTTCTCCTGACTGGGTTTGTATAATGCCTATTTTATTTCATCCTGGACGATCATTCTCATCAAGACTCACCCATTTGAGCCCATCAGAGATGATTTTCAATGCCAGCAGTTGAATTACATAGTGTTTTCTTTCAGTGCAATAATATCATTTTACTACATAATTCAAGTGTTGTACAAGGGGAAAGTAAAACTTTTAAGCGGTTAAAGACATTATTCAAATACAGTGCCTTTCGCATAAATAGGTTTTTATCATACCGATTTGCTGTGTTAATACTAATATTTTTTCTCCTCCAGTAATTAAAGATAAACTTTAGTACTGGTAATGCGATTGCATTGTGAAAGAAAAGGTGTGGAAAGGATCAGAAACAGTTGATCATGTAGCATGTAAGTATTGGTGTGCACTGCAAGGTTCTGGAGTCATCAAAATCATAATAAATTTGACCGAGTCTTGGTAAAGTAACAAGCACATACACAGAAAGCTATGTATGGGACAACACGCATGGTGTCGGGGTTGGTACTACCTTGATTCCTTGTCTTTCTATGCTCATTACTCAGCCAGTATACATTTTCTTCCAAAATTGTTTGGCACATGTCATTTATTTGTAATCTTGAACATTCAGTGTAAGTTTCGTTTGATTCTGTGAGAAATAATTTTCTTTTTTTTACCAGTACTCAACCTTCTCTTTAAGCAATACAGTGTTCCAAGATGGACGTTGTACCTCCATTGACCATCCTGGTAACCACTGGATCAGGCGCGGATCCAGGATTTCTTAGGGGAGGGGGCCCAAATTTTTTTTTTATTTTGCTCCCGGAAATTTGAAAATCGCGCCGGCCGAAATGTCGCTCAGTGGGGGGGTGGGGGGGGGGGGGGGGGGGGGGTACAGAGCACAATTTTTTTTTTTTTTTTTTTTTGCTCCCGAAAATTTGAAAAACGCGCCGGCCAAAAATTCGCTCAGTGGGGGGGGGGGGGGGGGGGGGGGGGGGGGGGTAGTGAGCACATTTTTTTTTTTGATCCTCAAAAAAAATTCAATTTGCACCCCCCCCTTGAGCGCCAGGGGGGGGGGCCCAACCCCCCAAAAAGGTAAAAATCACGTGATTTTGCATGATTTTTTTCTCAAGGGGGGGGGGGGCCCGGGCCCCCCGGGCCCCCCCCCTGGATCCGCCACTGCACTGGATACCTCTTGATGCTCTTCTTCAACTGGCAGTCATCGATCGGACCAGACTCTGAGTTCTCTTTGGGTAAGGTTTGCAGCAATGCCATCATTGTCCATTCTAACCATGATAGAAGGCTCTTCATTATTGCTCAAGAAGTTTAATAAAGGGGGTGAACTAAAATGCAAGCTGGTATCGTGGTTTCGCGGGAATAAGTCAGGTATGGATCAAAAGGTTGGTCTACGGGGGTTCGAATGACTCTCTCGCGACACTTCCTTCTTTCTACAAGACTTTTAACTCCACTTTTTCCTCAATCACGCAGGTGAAAGAACGGGGAACCCGGCGGTAGGAAAAAGATAATCGTTGCATGCTTGATTGCTATTTTACCTTGCCTTCAGCAGGGGTACCTCACAAATTAATGACGAGAGGGTCAACGGATTTTTTTTTGTTAAGGGTTGGAGAACTGGGGCTGCTGCCCCCGAGATCAGAAAAGTTTATATTTCAGCCCTCCCTTGCCAATTTGTGCCCGTACGCATTATGGTTCCTATTCGTAGAACAAAATATTTGTTTAAAAAATGTCTTCTAATGTGATCTGAACCATTCTGGTAATATACTTCCAATTTAATGATTTTAATTGTTATTGAAATATACAGGTTTCTTTCGCTCCACGGTCGGAAACCGGTCGGACGAGTTCCCGTCCCCTATAGGCCCTGCAGGGTACACATTCGCTATCTGGGGTGTCATCTATTCAGGAACAGGGACCTGGATCATCTACGTTATCACGACCCTGTTCAGAACCAATGCCAAGGGACCTGTCTATCTTAACCCTCCTACTACCAGTCCAGCATTCTTGGTTTCAATCATGCTCGAATTCACTTTCAATGTTACCTGGTTGTTCTGTTTTGATCGAGAAGTGAAGATCTTGAGTCAAATCGTATTCGTATTGCAAAACGTCTGCCTGTATGTTGCTATTAGTATATCCGCTGCTAGGGTATATCAGTATCTCTTTGTCTTCAAGGAATACGGGAAGTAAGTGTGATTTATAATCTTTTTTGCTCATCTACCAATTTTGTAGTATTTGTGATGTAGAAATTTGGATCAGAGGCGCGATGGCTCAGTGGCAGAGCAGTGGTCTCGTAACCTAGAGGTCCCGTGTTTGAAACCAAGTAGATGCTCTCGTGCCATTTGGTACAGCACGAATCCTCTTTACCAAGCCCCTCGGAGAGGACTTAAAGCCGTCGATCTCCTGGTTTCTCACTTACCTTAGCAGTCAGGTACACACAGAGAAAAATAGGTGTAAATTGATTCCCTATAGGGAGTAACTGCTTGTCGCATAAGTGACACCCCTCAGGGAGTAAATTTACTCCCCAATGTAGGGAGTAAAATAAAAAAATAATAAGAAGGTGTAGATTTGCACCCCAAGGTTATGATTGTACTCCCTTTAAGGAGTGAAATTTGCACCCAATGGTGCTTAATTAACACCTTTTGGTTCCATTTTCATGAAAAATGGGTTCAAATTTACACCCGCGGGGTTGAAATTTATACCCTTTATGATTGATTCCACACACCGTGTGGAGTAAATCTACAGCCTTCTGATGCACAGCATCAACCAATTGATAATTCCTCAAGCAATCAATCATCCATGCTTCGTAATCACCTAAAAGTCACTGATTCTCACCCTTTTGTCTACGTTTCACTGCTCTGAAGAAATCAGACCAGAATGTCGAGTTGTACGTTGAAAGGCTGTAATGCTTACCTAAACAACAATTAGTGTGAACTCAACACAAGTGCAGACTGTAAGAACTAACTTATGGCGGGACGTATCGATTCAAATGTAATGGAAATACCTAAATACACAATCCTGCCATACCGAATATCTTCCCTTTACTTACACGTATAAGAAGACAATGTACTAGTTAGTAAAACAACACTTCTGCTAATTTCATTAAATTATCAAACATAACCTTCGGTACAACCCCTTATTCTTGATCGGATAACTTTCACACAAATATTATGCCCAAATGAAACATGATAATTCCCCTAACATTACTAAAATATGTAAATTATGCTAATTTTCCATCATTTGGCAGTACCTATTTCGAGACGATGCGCCATTGCTGTAGCGCATGCACATATGCACTGACCAATCAGAGCTCGTCTGACTAAAATAGGGTGTAAAATTACATCCCTCAAATATACACCCTTGCGTATTTTCGTGTTTTACTCCCTAAAAGGTGTAATAGGGGGCGACCTATTTTTCCGATTTCGTTTTACTCCCCAAGAACACTTTTTATTTACCTGTGTATAATACAGTTATAAAAAAACATTACATAAGAGAAATCATTGTGGGAGCACCGTAGTATACTGTCAATTTCTCTTGACGCTCATGCGAAAGATTCTTGGTTCGATCCTTGCTCGGTACTTAAAAGTTGTTTTACCCACATTTGCCCCTCTCGATCCAGGTGTGTTAATGGAATGGGTATCTGACATTGCTAGGGTAATGCAGGGTCCGCAAGAAGCCAAGTATTGATACTGATGTTGCTATATACCCTGGGTATAGAAGCATATTAAGACCAAATTAAAACAATTGCTCATTATTATTATGAATTCGAATGAAATATGATAAATTTATAACCATCTTTTGATTTACTTTATAGATTGGACTTGTGGTTTAACCGCATCCTGATTCACAACGGACTAGCTATCTGGGCTACATGGGTTACTGTCGCTTCTAAAGTCGGTATCTCTACAACACTTCTATTCGTGTTTGGAGTGGATGAGTAAGTAGAATCAGCACAATAATATTCAACCCCTTCCTTTCATTATGTTCGTCTCTCCAAGAATATGTTTGAAAGAAGTGAAATAATTTGTTTGTTCTGATTGTATGAAACTTTAATTGGTAATAACGAAATCGTTTCTGTTCTTTTAAATCATTTTTGATAGAAACAATATTTTGCACTGTTTGCAACAACACTAAACATACAAATTTCAGCATGAATATCTTGACTAACGTTTTAACTATTTAACATTATGCCGTTTACGTATCACAACAGAGTATTTATATAATAATAATAATACAATAATGCATTATGTGGTCAATGACAAAATATTTTTTGACATAAACATGGCACTTAATAAAGTCTATAATGGCAAGTGCTTCATGTCATTATGCCATTTTATCTTACCGTCGATGCATGCCATGTGCCAAACATTACGAGAGGCAGGTGGATTTACCATGGATAGGTATTGCACATGATCACAAATCATGTTTATATTGTATTACACCAATTTGAGGTGATTAATGAATCTCAATCTTTCATCTTACAGAGAAACAACCGTCTATGTATGTTTAGGCATCCTGGCTTCTCAGCTCATCACCTATTTTATCTTGGATTGTTTCGTCTACGATCGCTACTTTCGATACATTCTCATCGTCTACCCTACAGCGATGTGGGCTTTAGGTGGTATCCTAGTCGAAAACATTGACAAACCTACCAGTCCACAGGCTGTCTTAACCTCTACGCTCTTCGCTATCGTCTTCGTCTTCTTCGTCGTTAAAACCATCCTCGTCATCGTTCGCAATCCCGTATACGTGATCGCTAAGCAGAAGAAAGCCGACGATGTCGCCTATTCAAGAATGGTTTAGTGACACGGAAATGAGCCATCAATCGCATATTTTCAGTCTATTTTCTTCCTTTTTTTAAAGAATGAAATATCATGCTAATACTTGAAAATCCAATCTAAAGTAATCGTTTCTGTTTTACATCACAGTGATTTTGCTGGTTCACTTTCATTGAATCCTTTTAAATAATAGAGCTTACTCAGTGATTGAGATTGTATTCTCAGAATTTAATTTAATCTCGAATTTTTAAAGTAAATGTAATTTTGCATTGGACATTCGATTCCATAATGATTTAAACAAACAAAAAATCACTGTTGATCATACAGTATGTAACGTTACCATTTGTTACCGAATAATTTAGTTTGAATATTGACTGAAATGCATATGTTAACGAGATACATTTTATGAGATTAAAACATGAATGATATCACGGTCATCACACATTTTAAATGATATTCCGATTCTTCGTCTTAGCATTGTTATTTGTACGTAACATTATCCATAGGCAATGACTTTTTGATTATTTTTTCGGGAGGGGGTTAGGTTTCCGGGAGTTACATTTAGGAGGATATTAGTCCTGATATGCGAATGAGAATTAATGTGATTGTGATGTGTATTTGTGTAGTGATCGTCATTTAAGTATCGTCATTCAAAGGAAGGAAATTCAATTCAATTAAATTCAATTCAATTCATTATAACCGCAAAATGTTCCACAATTTTAGACCACTATATTCTATTGTGGTACGGGAAAGTTCATACTTATACTTTGAAATTCGAATGTGGTTGGACTGTCTAGTGGAGTATGGTACAAAGGAATAATTTTCGGGAAAACAATCATTTAGAAACACTGGCAGCAGACCGTGGAAGTACGAAAAAATAAAACTGTCTAACTGCAACTTGTGTATATCATGAACTTTCATCTGTTTAGCTTGAAAATCGGGCCGACGATATTAAGCTCAGTGCGGAGGGAGGGGGGGGGGGGTCAAGGAGCATTCATTTTTTCATACTCTGCACATCCCCCCCCCCCCCTTGAGCAAAAAGAAATTAAAAAAAATTGAGGGGGAGGGGGGTTTAACCCCCAAAACACCCCCTTACGTATGCGGCTGGGCATGGATATTGAATAATGTGAAGTTTAGTGAAAAGAATGGTCTATGTACATGTACATGTAGTTCAATTTCTTAACTTGTGGAGTTCCATTATAAGGAACACTGATAATGCAGGCTTATTCGATAATTTTAGGATTCCTGACATGTAGGACTTCAACAACAAAAAGATTCTGATACAGATGGCCCCCATATTCAACTCTGAACCCAACAATTTTTAAATTTGAAAGTGGGCCCTAAACATATACAAACCCTAAAAAAAATACAATCATGACCCCCTTTGAAAACAAAATAGTTTGGGATCCTGCATAAGTGCATGGCTCGATCCACACTAACTTTTTCATAAGGGGTCTAGATTGAAATGTTTGGGGTTTGTCTGCATAGGGCACTTGTTTTTATTTTTTTAGAGGGGGGTCATCTTTAACCGATCCCCAAATAAATACTACACATCTGTTTTGTAGTTAACTTTGCATAAGTCGAAGCAATTTTTCAACCAGATCATGCAAAACATGTGTTATATACCTCTTGTTAGCCGAATATATTTCTGTGGTCCCAAGAGGTTTCGACTTATGCTAGGTTACCTGTACATTTAAAGACGAACAACCAAAATTTGGCAAAGGGCCTGCTGTATGATGTAACAATGAATATATCAGTTTTTTATGGGGGTGGGGGCGTGGGAGCTATCCCCTTCTGGATCCGCCAATGCTCGAATAAACGTATAGGCGTTTTAATATTAATGTAACAAACTGTGCATCTTATGGTTAATTCATCCTCAGTGTTACAATTCTTCTCCTAACTTACTTGTTTATGAACCGTTTATTATTCTGGACTAGGAAACATCTCGCCGGAGTACAACTCCTAGGTAAAATTTGTCTAGGCCCAGAAACATACAAGTTTCAATTGATTGCTACTTTTTCAGTACATACAACAAGTCATGCAATTGATTTAGAAAATTAAAATTCTTTTATTTAAATGAGCACATCAAAAAATAAATATATGCTAACAGTTGGTCGAATACCTCAATTACTGAGAAGGGTTTTTCAAAAACCAAACTGAAAATCTTACAAATGTTAATACATGCATGTAGTACATTCAACTACAATGTCATTAACTTTTTATACACCCAGAGAGCAAGAGGGTGTACCTGACATGCTGCGATATTCTTGGGTATAAAAGTATCCAGAGGGGTCTATTAAACAGCCCGAGGGTGGACTACTCAATCATGCTGGTGCATAGGGCCTAGCAAACAAAATAATCAAAGTATTCATTGCTTGTATATTTATATGATCATGTTTGGTCTCAAAGCAAAGGAAATGTAATATATCTCTGTCTGTGAATTGGAAATTGTCATTTTAGTCCCTGTGAATGAAGCTACGCATTGAATAAAACAATTTGTTTTGGTTAAATTATTGTTATGTTTTTTGTTTGTTTTTTTTTTTTTGGGGGGGGGGTCAATTAAGGAGGGGTAAAATACAGGATATTTTATTCAAAATACATGCACATGTATATCTTGTCAAATTAATTATGTCACTCTAAATCAAGCTAAACTCGTAAATTCATCGAATGGGGACACTCCTGGAGGTGGACGGGGGAAGGGGTCATGGGATCCAAAGTGCCTCTACTGTTAAGTACTCCTTTGTTATTTTGTATAAATACCCCTTTCATTTCATTCCCCCTTTCTCGTAACAACAAAATGTACTAATAAAACATATTAAGAATTTGAGCGGCTAAACAGGTTGCCCAGTTACTTATCCCTTTAATGTAAGTGAGTGGAGCAGTGTGTAGGCGAGGAACAATACCCAGACTTTCAGAAAGCACGAAAAGTGCCCCTTTCTAAACAATGTTTTTTTTTTATAATTCTAACTATAAGTGCCCTTTTTCTAGAAAGAGTCCTTTTTATTAAAGAAAAAAAAAACCTTTAAACTGAATAGAGTATATCGTGTCTTTCCTTTCTGCTAAAAAAAGAAGCATCTCCTAACCTACAAATATATTATCCCTATCCTAATGCCCTTTTGAAACGTAACCTACCGACGGTATAAGCTTCGTAATGTTCATGCTCTTATTAATATAGGAAGAATAGATAGTATAATGGTATAGACAGTAGGGGCGTCGATTTCTTTTCATGGCTGGGGGGGGGGGGACGTAATACGAGGGACGAGGGAGCAGTGGCGTAATGGGCAAAAACTGGTGCGGGGCAGAACAAAATCTGCACCCCCACTCTTACATGTTACATGCAAAGCACAAGCGGGGGTCAAGGGGCGTTGCCCCGTGAATCTCAGGGGTTTAATGGCATTTAAAAACGGTCAGAAGAGCAACCAGTGGCCCGCCTAAGGGCCCCCGGAAACTCAGGTTCTTCTAGGCATTTAATTACTGTTAAAAAAAAGAGAGAGCATCTAGGGGCCCGTATTAGGGCCCTGATTGGGCCCAGAGGGTGGAGCCCCCGTAAGCTCAGGGTATTTAGGCATTTAATAACGGTCTGATGAGCAACCAAGGGGCCGCCGTAGGGCCCTTGGTGGGGTCTAGGGGACAGAGCCTCCGGAAGTTCATGGAAAACCATGCCATTTTAGCATCATTTGTAAATCACTGGTATAGAATTAAAAATAAACCACGTTTGAATTTTATTAGGGGGCAACTGCCCCCAAGTCCCCCCACCCCATCAGTACGCCAGTGCGAGAGAGCATAGTGAACGACAGGGGTGAAGGTGACATAAGTGACTACACCCTCACAGGTTTTTACAGTTTTGTAGTATTAAAAAATTACATTCCTTTTTCACACTTCACTTTCCTACAATATATACTTGTACACTTTCAAAGATATTAATTATGCGAGGGAGCGTAGCTACTGAGCGAGAAGATTTTTGAGTTTTTATGACTCTTTTATGGCACTCCAGAGCCTAAAAGTTTGTTGCAGCCTTCAGTCAGTATTCGCTATACACTTGTTTTCTTTACTTTTTCACATTTTCCGGGGGGGGGGGCGATCCCCCCTAAAAAATTGAGGGAGGGACGTGTTCCCCCGTCCCCCCGGGATCGCCGCCCCTGATATACAGAGCCAAAGAAGTGTCCCTTTTCAGTACCTAACGGGCCTGTTGGAAGGTCCATTGCAACCCTTTTGAAAAAGTAGCTATTACAATATTAAACTGCTTCGACGAGAGCTTTTGCCTCTATACCGTCCCGGAGCGAAAGCTTACTCACTCCGCTCACTCGAATGGACCCCTTTATTTAAGGCTACTGAGTTTTATACAAAAAATCCCCCTCTTCCCCACCCCCAAAATAAATATATATCTATATCGCCGTACATATATCGCCCTTGATATCGCCCTATAGTTAATGAATTGACACCAACAAACCAAACGATGTTAACTTCGGTATGTTATTTAATGCTTGTATATTGCTACTTTCAATTTTCAGTACCTAACGGGCCTAAAGATATTATATGGGTCTTGTATTTTTGTGCAGGCTACAGGTCTTTAAAAATTGTTATCATCTAACTTGAAGATTGACCATATTGTGACTGGGTTTTATGAGAGCAAGTTTGACCTGGCGGGGGGGGGGGGGGTAACATCTAGGCCACGGAAGGTCCATTCGACGCAAAAGTTTTACTGGATAATCACATGCATTTAAATAATAACGCTACGTTACTCTACTGAATTATAATTCATACAAGTTTGGTATTCTATTTTTACATAATTATTGATATGAAGGTAAACACAATTTAAAAAGGTTTCTGAGTACCATATCTGACAATTTTTATAATTGGACACCATTTGTTTGTGTGATTAATATCTCACTAAATTATATGATTCTTTACTTCATGAAATGTGAAGAAGTATTTTTGTAAAATTCTGGTAAAACGGGCCCCAACATGACCTTCCTCGTAGGGCCCCGTACACCTTCTAGAATAGCTAGTCCACCCTATAGGAGGTTGCAAAGGGTTAATAAAGTCTACTTACATATGACTACATTATTATTACTCAACGTGTCATTTTCTCCCAAATATTGGAACTTAGCCCCCTGGGCAATAAAGAGGAAATTATTTATTTATTGGTATATAAGAACTAATGAGCATCATAGGCTGAAGGGGTTAATTTAAAACTACAATAATGCAATATATACCATGATATTATAAACAAAACGATGAATAAAACAATTATACATTGCATCTGTAGATCTACACACGTGATATCAAAGATGAAGGTACGGAGGGAGGAAGTTAAGGAGAAAGAGAGCAAAGAAAGAGAGAGAAAGCAAAAGAGACAGAGAGAGACAGAGAGAGAGAGAGAGAGGTTGAAGATGTAGAGGGAGGAAAAGGAAAAGCAAAAGTGGTGAGGGTAGAAAGATGTGAGTACTGATACG